TATTTTGTTTTGATTAGATGTAATTAGTCTTTCCTACAAGAAAGTAACTGGAGATTGATTTTGTGCTAAACTAACTGAAGTCTTTTTACATGGTAATGACTTTCCGAGTGCCAACAGATTTGTGAAAGAGGCTATAAAGAGTGTGCCAATTGACTTGGTGTTGGCAATGCATACCATTTTATATTTCAATTCAAATGTAGTAAGTAGTTCAGGATTGGCTTGAGGCCATATGGTTTGTTAATTGGACACTGTATTTTTTAGTAGCTTTGCCTTTTATAACATTCTTTTTTAAAATCATTTTACCTCGTTTTCCTTCAGTTTTCATATGTTAGCTGCTCACTCTTATTGAACTATCCAATGAGTATCTGACCACAGAGGGTTTAATTTACTGTTTAATCTCACTTATATATTTTTATTTCTCCTACTTATCAGAGTGTCCTAACTAGATATATTCTTTGCTTCAAGGGAGAAGAACAGTATTTATTCTTTGTATTTGTTGTGCCAGAATTCTCATTGTTATAACAATTGTTTTTGGTCCACTTTGTTTAAACATTAGTAGTGACATTTTCTTCTATTTTGGTTTTGGAGCAGCGATGATGATCCAATTGGTGAACCAGAAGAAATTGATCCTTCAGACTACAGTAACTTGCATGTAAGGCTTCAACTCCTTTGTTACTTTATCACTTAGTTATTGATAGTTTGAAATGAATTAATACTTCTTCCTTTATAGGAGTTGATAGTTTGTTTCTTTATAGGAGTTGAATCACATTAATCCTTCTAAATCAAACTCAATTGGGAACTGGCTTCAGTGTAGAGCAGTCATAGAAGGCATAGGAGAAGCTGTTGATGGGATAGTCTGTGGAAAGTGGCGCAGGTATTTTGTTTTGTTTCTTTTAGGTTTGTAATGCTTGTGATGGCACCAAGTAGTGAGCTGTGAAGGTTAAGGTTTATGGTTTAGCTAGAGAGATGTTTTTTCCTCAGAAAAGGCCATTACGTTTGATTGGTGGTTTCCATTGAGTTAAATATTATTAATCACTGATGAGGATAGGGAATGGGATGTGTGTTCAGATATCTGACTGTTGTTCTGGAAAAAGGAAGGAATATCACCGTGCCAAGTTTAGATTTGGTAGCATAATCAACTGTCTTGGCACTGCCAGCACCTTGCATGTTCCTAGTTGGGGGCCACCATGGGTTTATATGATTGCCAATTTTGTTTTGTTGGGATGTGTTAATTTCACATTTACCTAGATGTGCTTCTTCAAAATTCAATGGTAGTGGCACTTGTTTAAGTAATAAATGTGCTAGTCTCTTTCTAAATTTATGCAAATGTAACTTTCATTACTTGTTGATCATACACAATGCTTAATGACTCGTTAATTCAATAATTCAATAGGGCCCCCCTTTTTGAAGAGCAAACTGATAACTGGGAGTGCTTCAGTGCTGTCTCTTGGGATCTATTCCATGCTGATTGTGCTGTGCCTCAGGTGAGAACCAATTTTTCTGGAGATTTTTGTTATCATGTAAGGGTTATATTCAATTTTCAAGTTGGAAATTTCAGACTTCAATCATCAAAGTAGGTATCTTACATCATGGAATACATTATTTTGCTGCTTTTGGATTTTAGACCATCTAATTGGTGAATCCTATATGTTGAGAGGAGTAACTATTTTAAAAATTTGAATTAGTCTCTCCTAGCAATGATACCAAGCTGAGAGGTGTCATTAGGTTTTTGCTCGAGAGCTCAACTTACTTTGGCATCGTACCACCAAGTAAATTGCATAACCTTCAATTCAATGTATAAAACCTACATAAGCCCATATGCATTTTAAGGTTTTGTATCACAAACAGTTTTGCACATGGTCCCACGATTCCCATTGGTATTATCTCTTCTCCATCTGTGTTATCTCTATTTGCCCAAAGAAAAAAAAATAAAAAAATAAAAGAAGGAGGAAAATCAATGTTATCTCTATCTTCATTAACATGTTATCCTTGCATTGGTCTTGTATCAGTTTCAAAGTATTTGCTCCATAATTTAATCCGAAATGTTCATCAGTTGAATCAGTTCTCTCCACCCCTGTGCCTTTTCTCTATTTCTCTTGTTTAGGAGAACTTGTCAGCCATTATGATTGGCTCAATTAACTGTTTCAGTGATATGAGGGCTGTTTGGGCATTTTGGGTGGAAATAACTCTAAGGATTGTTTTCCACTAAACTGGCTTGGTCAATATATAGTGAGTGAAGGGTTAGATATTTTTCTTTGCTTCCATTCCAATACCATATGATCATTGTGTTTTGTAATCGACCATGAAAGATATCTGTTATACATTGCGTAACAAGAGGCTGAAAGTCATGCGGATTTGTATATCTATTATTTCTTTGCCCAATAGTGTTCATTTACCATAATCATTTGGTTTTAATAAAATGTGTTGCTTTTTTATTTCCCTTCAGGAGCTGGAGACGGATCGGGTGTTGAAGCAACTGAAATATGTAGATATGGTATGTATTGATGCCCTCATATAACTCTCTTCACAAATATTATTTGCAAATGTAATGGTTACAGTGGTCCAGTAAAATGTTACATGGAATATTACTCTGGAGCCATGCATTGTTCCTGTCTTTCTATGTTCCAGGTTACTTCTAGGTATTAACATTTCACATCATGTGCAGTGGAGGTCTCGGATGTCCGCTAAACGGCAAAAACAAAACCACAAGAAGAACCATACTTGACAGTTTTGCAATAGATGCGTTGAGTAAATAGTTGCAAACCGCTAGAAATTTTGATGAGTGCCATGTATCCACACAGGACAGAGCATACTTAATGTTTAGATGTACATCCAGAATAGCAATAGGTCTGGATTTTGAAATTAGATTTCTTCCTTGACAGTTGTATTTTTTTGCTTAATTGGCATGGTTTTATACACTTTTTGGTGTTGGCTTCGTGCATCATGATGTTTCATGTTACTCAATTATGCTTTGCTGAAATATCTTTTTAGCTACCATCAAAATAAATATAATCTTCATAGCCCAATGGTAACTGGGGAGCTAAAGTTCTCCTCCTTTGTGGGGACTAAGGTTTTCAAGCTTGAGTTTGAGAAAGAAAAATGGAAAAGGAAAAGGAGATTTCCGAAAAATCAGTCCACTCATGTTTAGAGAGAGACTTTTTGCCGTCATATACACGGTATGAGGCAAAAAAAAACTATTTAGTACATGCAAACTTGGGTAATTTTCTTAGTAATCTCCTTTTGATGGTGAAAATAAAAGATTTTAAATTTAAGCAAAATATTATACTGGTAAAGATGAATTAAAGAATAAAAAATTAATTTTTATTATGCAATTAAATTTTTTTTTAAAAAAATCAGAATTTATTCTTACCGGTTTAATGTTGGGTGGGTTCTAACAAAGGTTATTCCTTGACCATACGTTAAAAACTAAAAAGAAGGGAGAATTAGACAATCTATTTTTGGTGAATGAGAGCGAGCATGCATGCAATTGCAGAGGGGAATACTCTGATTTTCGTCTGGCATATGCCATTGCGTAGATTTTGGAAAAAAAAAGAGAGAGAGAAAGAGAGATAGAGTCATTTGTTCATTTCTCCTTGGAACAAACAAACAAACAAACAAAATCTCATATCTCTTCACCTTTCTTTCTCCCTCTTTCCAAACCAAAAATCAGACTCAGATAATCAAATACATCAACTAATTGTCCAATGTTGTTGTCAGAGATCATGTTTCTGTCCCTAGAAAGTGGGAACTAATGTCTGAAAAGGTAACAGGGGATTAATGGGCACGTTCCAGAGTTTCAGGAAAGCCTATGGGGCGCTTAAGGACTCCACCAAGGTTGGCCTTGCCAAGGTTAATAGCGATTTCAAGGTATTTCTTTTCTTAACTAATTTCCTTATCTTCTTCATATCATTTTTTGTTTTCATTTTCTTCAACTTTCTGAATCTTTGGATTTTTAGGATTTGGATATTGCCATTGTCAAAGCTACCAATCACGTTGAATCTCCTCCTAAGGAACGTCATGTTCGGAGTGAGTTCATCAATTTTTTCTCGAATTAAGTGCTCATTTGCATGTTTTTGATCTGAACAGATCAATTCTGTTTTGTAGAAATTTTCTCAGCAACATCAGTGGTACGTCCAAGGGCAGATGTTGCATATTGCATCCATGCATTATCAAAGAGATTGTCCAAGACACGAAGTTGGATTGTAACATCTTTCACCTCCATTTTTTTTTTCTTTTTCCTTTCATTTTTTCCTTGTTTAATTTATGAATTCTGCCAAGGCTCCATTTTGATGTCCTACCTAATACATTCCAACAGGTTGCCATAAAGATATTGATAGTCATACATAGGACATTGAGAGAGGGTGATCCTACATTCAGAGAGGAGCTTCTAAACTACTCACATAGAGGACACATTCTCCAAATATCCAATTTTAAAGATGATTCAAGTCCCCTCGGTACATGTTTAATGTAGATCTTGTCCGAATTCTAATACAGTAACCATTTTTTTCTGATTCATGCCTTCTCTATCTGTAGCATGGGATTGCTCCGCGTGGGTTAGGACATATGCACTATTTCTAGAGGAGCGACTTGAGTGCTTTAGGATCTTAAAGTATGACATTGAGTCTGAAAGATTGACAAAAGCATCTCCTACAATGAGTAAGGTATTTGTTGCCTAATTAGAAGGTAGGCTATCGTAGTATTTATTGTTTCCATACACTAAAAACATAAGATATATTGTTTTCAATTTCAACAGGCACATAGTAAAACACGGCTTTTAGGTAGCGAGGAGCTGTTGGAGCAGCTACCTGCATTGCAGCAGCTTCTTTACCGCCTTGTTGGTTGTCAGGTATTGATTAAAATCAGTTTGATGCTTCTGTATTAATTTGGTATATTCTTCCCACTGAATTTTCATCCTTGTTCTTGTACTTAATGTCTTTACTTATATTTTCATATGCATTGGCAGCCTGAAGGAGCAGCATATAGCAATTATCTTATTCAGTATGCCTTGGCCTTGGTACCTTGTATAATCTTTCTTTCTTTTTATAATAATGCTTTCTGTATCTTTTGCTCAAGAATCATTCACTAGAATCTTTTTTCTATTCCAACAATGTTGTTCATGTAGGTATTGAAAGAGAGCTTTAAAATATATTGCGCCATCAATGATGGAATTATCAATCTTGTAGATGTGGTATGTTTCCTTTGGCCTGTACATTCGCCTTAGAATGAATCACTTAAAGTTAAAAATGTACAACATAATCTGGATGATCAACGAATTTCACGTGCTTTTGGCAGTTCTTTGATATGTCAAGATATGATGCGGTTAAAGCCCTCAATATCTACAAAAGGGCTGGCCATCAGGTTAACATCTATCTTTTTTCCTTTCCCTTAAACTCATGCCTCTATTTTCTCTCCATTTTTCTCTTAAATTCATTCTTGTAAATATCTTTGTCACTCAGGCTGAAAATCTTGCTGAATTTTATGAATACTGCAAAGGACTGGATCTTGCCAGGAGCTTTCAGTTTCCAACATTGAGACAGGTTTCTTTCTTCTATTCAATTAGATCTGAAAACTATCAGTATGTTCAAGATAATATATGATGTCTTACAAACTTTCCTTGCTGAACCAAGCAGCCCCCTCCATCATTTCTTTCAACAATGGAAGAATATATTAAAGAAGCACCACAGGATAGTTCTATGAGAAACAGATTGGTAAGTACTTTGATATCAATACAGGGATGCAAAGAATGTGCATTTCAGATCTGGAATTTTGTTATATAAATTATCATTTCTGTGTTACCATGGATTTGTTGTTTGAACAACAGGAGTATCCAGAGAGAGAAGAACAGCCTCCAACACACAAAGAAACCCAAGAACCTGAACCTGAAAAGAAAGAAGAGAAAGTGGAGGAAAGTGAACCCTTGGTTGATACAGGAGAAGAAGCTCAGCCAGAGGAATTTGAACCCTTGCCATTGATATCAACCAACCAAACTGAGGATTTTCTTGTAAGTTGTGACTAATCAGGATAACTTTTCTGATGTAGGTCCATGGGGTTCTTAATTGAAAATTGTTCCTCTTGATTTTTATGCAGGGTTTGAATGAACTAAATGCAAAGGCTGCTGAACTAATGGAAAGCAATTGCTTGGCTCTTGCAATTGCTCCATCTGGTAGGTCATGTAATGTGAGACACAACATTAACAGACTTTTATGCTTTAACATGAATGAACATTTTCTGTACCAGTCATGTCAATTAACTCTTGGCTATTCATTTGATTGCATGTGTTTTGTGGTACTAAACTTTTATTCATGTCTTGTAGGCAATGATCCAACAACATATCATGGTTTGAATGACATTAGTGGTGCCGGATGGGAGCTAGCACTTGTGACAACACCAAGCAACTCTAGCAGCCACGTTGTAGAAAGCAAATTGGTTAGTTTACTCTACCTAAACTTTACATATTGTTTCTTTGCTTTATCTGAACAAAATGTGGCTTTCACATAATGCAAATCCTCGGACTGAATTACAGAACAAGATCATCAGTACTATTTTCCATTTTATTGATTGTTGTTACATCTTTTGTTTTTGTTTAAGGCTGGTGGCTTTGACAAGCTATTGCTTGATAGCCTGTATGAAGATGAAGCTGCTAGGAGGCAAATACAGTTGACAAATGCAGGGTATGGATATGGGGGAGGAATGGCTGTTCCAAATCCATTTGAACAACAAGTTGATCCATTTGCAATGTCAAACAGCATAGCACCCCCGACGAATGTTCAGATGGCCTTATTAGCGCAGCAACAGGAGCATTACCAACAACAACAATACATGATGCAGCAACAACAACAGCATCAGTCACCACAGCAGCATTTGTTGATGGGACCTTACCAACCTCAGTATCCTCAGCAATCCCTACATCCTCAACAGATGCAGCAGATGGGTTCTGCTAATCCATTTGGAGATCCATTCCTCGCCCTCCCATCTCCAGGTTCAAGGCCACAATATCAAGGCAACCATACGCTACTCTGAGAGTTCATATATTTTATTATCTTTTTTTATATATAATTTCAGTGTAATTCTTTAATTCTATGGAGTAAAAGGAAATCATTTTATTTGCTCTAAGATCTGATATATAAGCTTATTCTTTGTTTACTTAGTAAATAATAAATACATTTTTCTTCTGCTTCTCTTCTTTCTCCTTTTTTTTTTTCACCATGTGGGAAGCATTGATGGATACTTCCTAGGTGGAAGACAACGTTCCTTTCATTATTTTATATTTTGTTAAAACTAAGCCCTTGGACTATTTAGAATTGATCAAAATAAAGTTTAAATTTTAAAAATAAAAATTTAATTGACTGTTTACAAATAATGAAGTCTTCGATTAAATGGTCAGTTTGAATCATCATGGGGCTCAATTGACTATAAAATTTTTTTTTTTGATAAGGCCTAATTGTATGTGTGAAGAATGTTGGAAGCATAATTAATGATATTCAAACCATAAAAAAGAACTTTTAAATGATGGGATAGTTTCCAATATCAAAAAATTTGTTCTCTATCTAAGGGTTAGTTTAGTTTGATCTGATTCTGCACTAAACATTTCTGTATTCACTTACTCCAAAAAAAAAGAAAAAATCTATAAGGGCTAATGTTAAATCAAGTAAACATTTTTTACACGCATTTGAGAAGCAAAGACAAATAAAAAGAAGGTTACGGACATAACTGAAAGTTTGGTCAAACATTACAGGCGAAAGATATATTTTCTCTTTTCCCTTTTCCGAGGAAAATGAAATTTCTCAGAACGGAGCTTGAAAACAGTTTCTTGCAATAAAGATCAATCCTTTGTCTTCTCATCTAATTTTGTAGGGCATCACCCCGCTCACCGTTGATTACTTCAACAATGCTTCGGAACCTAGCTCGCCAGTCCCCGCTTACCTACTACTCTGCCGTTAACCGCCGCCCGCTGCTTCCCCTCTCTCTCCGTCGCCACTGTTCATCAAAGCGCGAACCCATCGAGATGGAATTGGACTTTTCGTCTCCCAACGAGTTAAAGAAGATGGAAGAGACGATCCAGAAGTTAATTCTGCACAAGGCGACACCTGATTGGCTCCCCTTCATCCCGGGTGCCTCGTTCTGGGTGCCTCCGTCCCACGGTGGTTCTAAGAAAGTGGTTGATTTGATCGACAAAATATCCCATAGGCTCCCCAAGGAAGAGGAACCCTCTATCACCACTGACCAAGGTTGGCCTTTTCTCTATGGTACCCTGGGACTCAGATTCTCTTGTTCCTCTCCAAAATTTACTCGGATAGCTGCTAAGGCTTTGGTGGGGTTGCTTAATTCTTAGCTTGAAGATCATAGAGAATGTCATACATTGATCAAACAGAGTTATTTGACATAAAGATCATTGCTTGTTAAATTGTGAATATCAGTTTAGTTATCCTTTTAATTTTATGTTTCATTGCAGATGCTGTGTTCACTGATGGGATACCAAATTTGAATGTGGAGTTGAAGTCAACAGAGCAGGATGACGGAGGGGTGATTGAGGTCGTGGTATATATGGATTCAAAGAACACGTCCTGATGGGAGGCTTAGAAAGTATATATATTGCATAACTCAATTGAACCTGATCCCAGGTACATGCATATGGTCTAGTTCTAAGAGTTGGGCGTCTAAAGTATTTTGCTTTTATTTAGCATGTTGCTTCTTTGAATAGTGCATTTATTGGTGCATTGTGGTGGTGGTGGTGTAATGGTATTTTGCTAAAGGAGTTTGATTTTAGGACGAGCTGAAAAGACCTTCAGTGGAGAAATTAGGGCGTTTGTCTTGGCAGCTTAACATAGACAATTGGAAGCTAGTAATGCCGGATTTGAAAATCCTGATTTCTTGGTTCAGTGGACCTTTTTTCAGTATTGATGGTTGATGATGGAACTACTGAAGATATGCATTTGCCTCCTAAAAATTAGTTTTACTTGATGGCTTAGCACTGTTTCATCTAGGTTTATTTTAGTAGATGGTATTCCTAGAGAAGTACAAGAGTAAACTTAATGTCATAGCTAATATCTTCCAGAGCTTGAAGCACTAAAAGCAAAATGAATGTGATTGCTTGAAAAAGGAAAAGGCTTAAGGAATGCGTACAGAGCAAGAAAGAACATGATGATTTTTTTGTATTTTGTGTAATTGCATGAAGTTTGTGCAAGTTCTTCATAGGCTATCAGGAGTGTTGTGTTTAGCAGTAAACAGCTTTTTAGTCGAGTATGACTTTTGTTTTCATCGGAAGGTAATATGGGTTCCTGTGTTTACATACATAATAAATCATTTTGTATTGGTGATCTGAAGCTCTTGTTTCTTGTAATACTCCATAGTTTACAAATTTCAGTTATGTTGGAAGTAGAGAAAATGTTTCCTCCTAACATATTCATGTTTATTATTTTCAGGCTCGTTCATCTCTCTTCAAATCTACCTTTACATGGTTATCGG